AAACACACACACACTCCAATAGAAACACAGAAAGTCAGATACAGAGACACACACTCCCTCTCTACTGAACCACTGAGCATTGAACGCCTCCTTTCTCTGAGGCCAGACAAAAGGCAGAGAGAGGGCCTCGGGGCTGGTCCGGGTCCGCGGGGCGGGAGAGGGGTGGGTGGTGGGAGGGGGCGGCGAACAGCGTGTAAACAACACCACACACTCCCAACACCCAGAGGGGCAGCCAGCTCGACCATATGGCCGCTGGCGGCAGGTGACTCCTCCACGGTGCAGACAGGATTTTATCGCTCCGAGACACCGAGAGCACGGAACACTGCAACGCGCGGCCGCCAAAGCGCATAAATTATTCACCGCGGGCGGATCGTGTGCATGCCAAGTTGCTAAACACGCATCAGCAAACAAGAGCGTAACATGAACGGGACAGGGCCTCCGAGAGGTCCCGCTACTTATCCGATACTTCCACCTCAATGGAAGAGCCGGTTTCCGCCTCAGTGGGCCCATTGCGGCCGACAAGGGGCTCGCGCCCATGGATTAAACTTTTCAGAGGGGAACAACGACTCCGATTTACACTCCAGTTACTGCAACTTGAGACCGAATTGTAGCTCGATACCGTATGTGGGATATCTGATCCTAGCACCAGGGCAGGCGGACGGACTTGGGGGGGCGGGGGGGGAGGAGAAGGAGGAGGTCTAGAGCTTGTTGACTCCCCTCAGGCAGAAAGGCCTCTGTTCCACATCCAGATCATTTCCACTCTGTAACTTATGTGACGTAGCTGGGGGAGAGGTTCTGTTTCATCATCCAGCTGAAGATGTCTGAGAGTGTGACATTTTGGCCTTCCAGCATATGCAGGGAACCGGTTAGTTTCACTTTTCTATGGTGAACACCACAACACACACACACTTTTTTCTTTTTGCGCCATTGGGTTCAATATACCCCCCTTGGGTTCTTTTGAAAATGTGTACTACAGAAGAATACAGTGTAGACAACAGATACAGCAACAAAATCGCCTTTTCACAAGACTTGTTCGCGTTTTTTTTCTTTTTTTTTCCAGCCCTGACAGGTGACACAAAACGAGGCTCTTGGGCAACTCGACTGCGCTTCCACATTTGCGTAACATCGAGAATTTGCAAGGAGGCAACCAAATCAGCCAACATAACCCAAATAGATAACCCAGCCCTGCGATAAAAAAGCCTTCAGAGGCTGCAGAGAGAACGAGAGAGTGAGCGAGAGAGAGAGAAAATGAGAGAAAGAGAGAGGGAGAGAGAGAGGCGGAACCACGGCCGTTGTGGTTGCTCGTTAGCCATCGCAGTTACAGAATTATGGTCAGTTTCCGTTGCGGAACACTGACGAGCTACAACGCCGCCTGTCCTCTTCACGGGCACGGCTCGAAAAATACAAGTGTGAGCAACCCCTAGAAAAGAGGAAACCGAACGCGGCCAGCCATGGGCGCCATTCACCGTGTTAACGGAGCGCGTATGTAGGAAAAAAAAGAAAGAAAAAAAGAACAGCGCTTCCCTGTTAACAGTACAAACGGTGGAAGCGGAGCTCCGCTGTGTGCCTCGCCGTGCCGTAAGGCGGGTCGGTAAATGTACCCCGGTGCTCTTACACCAGCAAAAAATTATGCTGCAATAACCCAGAATAGCTTGCTAGTTGTACGTGTGCCACTGGGAACGACTCCCAAGTTTCAGCTCGAGTCGCAGCCGGCAGCAATAACCTGCTACTTGACACGGTGGGAGCCACACAGCTCTATAATGCTCCAATTGCGCAGTTATGAAGCATATTCGGTCCTAACGTGACAGCGGACACGTTACCGGACACAAAAAGCAGGGAGAATGGGCATAAACACTCAAGAATACAGCCTCGTTTTTATCTCTTTGCGTTAGCTTAAGCGTTCAAATTGAGCCTCGCGGGCGTTTTCCGTCTCCTCAGTGCACGCGAGTGGCTTGTTGGAGGAATCAATGACTGGACTGCAAATACAGGAATAACCATATAATGAGCTCCATAAGGTCTGCGCTAAGTCACAAGCGGGCGTCGTCGCGAATAAAAACGCTTCCCCCCCTAACTCACGAGAGCCAGAATGAATGACTATACATACCATGTCGGATGGGTTGTGTGCTTGTTGGTCTGTGGAGGCAGACTAGGAGTGTGCTCGTTCCTTAGATGGAGTTCCACTGGCGGGTTTGGAGTGTGTATATTGGCCGTGGCCAGAATGGGGATTGTCTGTGTATCCCTCCGCCGCACTAGCACTTATCACTCACTTCCTTATTTCAATGCCGAGCTGTTGCGGCAGCAACGGCCCCCCAACAGCCGACACGCCAATCACCGGGCCTCAAACGTCTGCAGTGCCCGGAGAGCATCACCCCGCCGGCCAATACTGCATGGCCCGGGGATGTGTTTGACAAGCAAGTCGTTATCGTTGATTATGCTGTTCTAGCCGTTTTTGGCGTTATTGTGGTTTTACGCTGATATCGAATGACACGAAATAAGAGAGCATGCAAGGGGGGGTCAAAACTGATCGTGCAGTTTTCAAACTGCACTGGCATACTTCATGCAGATTACGTCCAAAGTGAAGTCATATGTGGCTCATTTGCAGTAGTTAAAGCCTGGTGGCATATTTGCAAATGTAAGTTTTACTAAAATTGACGTTTGCTTAAACATCACTCCACAGAAGCCTTCTTATCTTTCAAATATTTCATTGCTTAATTTTCAAAAACTGCATTGAGTAGATTTGGATTAAGAATATATTCCACTGAGCCCAAACATTTAAAAATGGGCATGTATGTTTCATAGTAAATTACTAATTATTTTTTAGCTGGCAAAAGTGAAAAAGATTATTCTATGCAAAGTATTAATTTGTTTGGCAGACTTTTAATTCGTATAGTTGAATTAACAGAGACTGTTTGGCTTCCCTTATTCTGAGAAGACACATGCACACGTCTTGACAGGGGGTACTAATTTCCACCCGCGGAAGGATACCTCAAGTGTAAGAAGCCCGGTTGACACTGGAGAATTTGCGGCGCTCGTGTGTGATAGCGTTTCTGATTGGCCACTGCAGACCTGCAATATTATACTCAATGTGTCGGCCACGTTGATTGGCTACACGGGACCTGCATTGCACCAGGCAGTGGCACTTGATGGAAATGTAATAAATACAAAAACGCGAACGCAAGAAACCTTCGCGCCTTTGACCAGCGTGTCTGCTCGTTTTTACCGGCGCCCGTGACCGTTTTCAGTTCCCAATTATTTGTTTTGGGCCAGACGGGACTGGAATGCGACAGGTTTTCATTGGCGCCGGGCAAATGGTTGATAGGCTAGATATGGGAAGTGCACACGTTTACCATTGGCTACTAAAAAAAGGCTGGCTGGCCTACGCGAATTTGAGCATAAGGCACGGCGGAGTTGCGGGGTTGTTGTTAGCATAGCATGGCGGTACACAACACGGGCGTGTTTACTTTGACTCAGAAATTAGCCCTCCTGAGTCATTTACCCCGAGTAACCTCTCTGCCTCCTGACGAAAAACCAAATAACGTGGACGGGCAGAATGACAATGCAGAATTTGGCAAAGTAATGTCCCCCTCTCTCTCTCTCCCTCTCTCAACAAACACACACAGTCGAGCCTGTGTACGGTGTGTGAACTGAACCCACAAAAGCACCACCCAGCGGACAAAGTTGAGAAAACGACGGAATGTTTACAGTAACCAGGCAGCAATACAAAGAATGAGATACAACAGGCCAGTAATGGCCTTTAATGACTGGCATGGGACCTCCTTAAAGGTTAGGTTTTGAAGGCAAATTGAGTCTTTCCGTCTGTACCCTGAAGAGACAGAAGGCCTTTTGGAACTTGCTTCTTTTCACCCCGGTGAATTTCACCGGTAACGCTACAAAAGAAATCATAAAGTATCACATTTATTGTGTGATAATCCCTCGTAGCATTTGAGCCGCCCTTCACTCGTGGTCTGGAGACTCTTAACCAAAGTTTCCTTTGTTAATCTGCTGGAACTAATCAGGACGACTTGCTGAATTTATTCAGCAGTTTTTCCCCCTTTTTCCAGGACAAACGGATATTACATAAGCGGATATACATTTTTCTTACAGCTTTGCAGCACACACACACACACACACACTCAACTTTGAATGCTGGGCTCTCTGTGGCCTGAGAAGAGGTGGAGGCAGGAGGACTGCTGATGCATTCCCTGGGCCTGAATGTCCTCGCTCACAGAAGGTTTGATGGAGCAACTGTTTGGCCAATGCCTCCACACATCTGAATGTAAAACTGTCCTTTCCCAGAAAGCTTCACAAAGACTTTAAAACTGTCGCGATTCGAAGCGATGTGAGTGTCATCCTTAAACGAAGACACTTTTGAAATCATTTTCTAAAGTTCTGGCTCAAAGTAAGGACAAATGACTCATCAGAACACGTAGCCCCTCCAAGCTCTTGAGCTTTAACGCGCCGTGGCTGGATTTATGTTTATTTACGTGCGTTATGAGCTGCATTTGAATTGCGTGACTGGTTTAACAAGGTGGGAGCGTTCGCCTGGCTCGGTGGTTCGACATTCCCCGACCGGGGGCCCTCTTTTCTGCTGAACACCGACTCTAATCGGTTCCTCCACGCGCCAGACTGCAGTGAGGCCGGCTTAGGTGGATTTACCATAGGACCTGGCTCCGGTGCCAATTGTGTCTTGTGAAGTCCCACGTGCACCGAAATTCCTTGACCTCTTCTCTCGGAAGCAAAGCATTAATGCTTTTTATATCATGGAGCACCACCGATAGTTCCAGTTGTTCCGTTTTATTCTATCAATCTATGCTGGAGTATTGTGGAATACTAGTGATGAGCCTGTTTGTGAAGAGATGGAACAGGCAGTTCCTTTAGGGCGCTTTGTTGGAAAAAAACTGGTCACAATAATGTTGAATATCACCAGTGTTACAAACCAACCATAAGTTTGGTGTATAGGCATCTAACAGGAAGTTAGATGTGAACAAACTGTGAGAAGGGATGAGGTAGATGTGGCGGACTTTTCTTTTTTCTTTTTTTATTCACTGTCTTAACACATAACGATAACATGGGAGAGAAGGGAAAGACCGGGCTTGACATGCACAAAATATATCAAAACTCTCTTTGTTGAGACGGCTGGGCTGCCGCCTCGTCTCTTTCACGCCTTTGATGGATGAGGAACGGGTGGAGGTGTTTGAAGGGTTAGAGGTAAAGCCCCTCCGGTGTGCCCTCCTGCTTCTTGTACAGGACGTTCTCCTTGGACTTCTTGAAGTCTTCGTTGGTGACTTTCATGCGGCGCTCTCTCAGAGCCATGAGGCCTGCCTCTGTGCAGATGGCCTGGAGGGTTAAGAGGGAAAGGAGAAAAAATGTGGAAAGACAGAGATCAGACATAGTGTTTGTATATGTGGTTCGTTCTATAATATAATATAGTTCGTTCTAATACTGTGGGAACCAAAAGCAGCTGGATTATAGGAAGCTTTTCTTCTGCTTTTATAACCTTTAAAACAAGAAAAGAAAACACCAAGCTTACATCAGTTAAGTTACGTATTTGTCCACACGTATTTGACATGAAGACATTTTTTTGCTGGCTTTCTGCACCGATTACTAACTACTTTTTCAGTGTACAGAAAAAGTGTTGTTCTGCCACCTGCCACAGGAGGGCGGTAGAGCTGAATCTGGGACCTTAGGTTCAGCCTACAGATGATTTCCAACAGAAAACCCAGTCCAGTTAATTAAATGAAGGCATGAACATCACTCAGACAATCAGCCAAAGCGATTTCCTTTCAACTCACATTTTTATAATGAATAAACCCTGAAATGATAGATGTTCAGAATAGAAAATGGTCGATGCCAAAAATACATCTAGGCAGGTTTTGAAATTAATTTGTTGGAAGGATATATTTTTTTTAAAGAGAGCTGCTTCTTTATATTTTCAAGCTGCTCTGTCACCTTAATATCTGCTCCCGATAAGTCGTCTTTAGCCAAAATGAGGTCGTCGAGGGTGACGTCGTCTGCCACCGTCATGCGGCTGGTGTGGATCTGGAAGATCCTCCGTTTGGTTTTCTCATCCGGCAGGGGAAACTCAATCTTCCTGTCGATTCTCCCTGAGGGCAGAAGGAAACAGGAAGTGTTTGTTATTTATCTTTGTAGATAATACGGAGAAAGAGGAAGGGATTTTCTAATGTTACGGGAAAAAATAACGCCTGGTGCACACGCTCCGGCACACTCACAGGGTGGATTGGAGTGAGGATCTTTGTTATAAAGTGCGATGACAGGAGGGAATGACATCATAAATATTCACCTCCAGAAGCGGAAAGACTCCCTGACATTTCAATTTCCACTGCGTGCCATGACTCAGCAGAACGCGGCCTTTTCCCCGGCAGATTTACCGTTCTGTCGCTGGGGAGGGCCGGCGGCCGCAGAAAAGAGCCAGCGCTGACTCACCGGGTCTGATGAGGGCCGGGTCCAGCGTCTCTATCCGATTGGTGGCCATGATCACTTTCACGTCTCCCCGGGAGTCGAAGCCGTCCAGCTGGTTGAGCAGCTCCAGCATGGTCCTCTGGATCTCCCGCTCGCCGCCCGAGTTGGAGTCGTACCTGAGCGACACAGACAGGGAAAAGGCTGAAGTGAACATCTGCGCGGTTATTTAACCCATTAGCGAGCTAGCCCCCCCACGCCCCGCTTGGCCTACCTCTTGGTTCCGATGGCGTCGATCTCGTCGATGAAGACGATGGAGGGGGCGTGCTCCTCCGCCACCCTGAAGAGCTCTCGCACCAGCTTGGGCCCGTCTCCGAGGTACTTCTGGATCAGCTCGGAGCCCACCACCCGCAGGAAGGTGGCCGAGGTCTGATTGGCCACGGCCTTGGCAAGCAGCGTCTTACCTGGGGGGGGTGGGATGGCACTCGGTTACATTCTACACGACGTGTGGACTGCAGTACAGCTTATTCTGCGTTTGGATGCAGTTTATCTCAGTGGGACAGAACGCCGACTGCATGCTTATGACAGACAGAGCGCACGCCATTCGTTGGGCAAAGGTTTAAACCGTTTCTCGGGACGTTATTGTGGATTTATCCACCCTAAAAAAAAACAGTTTCCCTATAGATATAGGTGCATGAATGCAGAGCATTCCTATCTTTACAATACTATGTTTTACAGTTTAAGCCGCAGACACAACAAAGGGAGAATTATCAGGAATTTGAATACAAGGTCTGCAGCACCTTTTCCTCAATTAACAGTTCCCCAAGCACTAGAAAATATTTGAAATGTTAACAAGCTGGTGAAAATGAAAAAATCTGTCAAATTAAAAAAAGAATGGTGATGGGAGACAGAAGTTTGAAGCTAATTAGGTTTATTAGAAAAAAAAGAAGCTTTCACACAAGCTTCATTCTGTGACTTTGGGTTTGTGAAGGCAGTTCCCTCAGTTCTGCCTTTCAAAGTCATCGTCAAAAAGCCCCCCCC